AAAGCACTCTAGATATCAATAGAAATGACATCATACATTCTTTATCACAAAGGAATAAATCAACTCTTATTTTATCAAAACAGTCCTGGCATATCATGAATTATGAAGGGTAGATTGCTATGCAGTGCTTCTTGTATGTGGTCAATGCAAAATACATTTTTGACCTCCAATCACAAAGCAAGGCTCTCTTTAGCCTCTTGCCTCAACATGATGGGACTCGGTTATCAATCATTTAAAGAGCACTATATCAGTAAGTAGTACCCTTATACCCAGGATTCTCAATGAAATTATGCAATTGCAAGTCCCGCATAGCAGAAGTAAGATTATTCGAAATTCTTAATTCACAGCAAATCCCATGCAGTACTCCATCCGTAGTAATTTGGAAGAGCCTAAACAAAGATGTCACCCTCCGTATGTATTCTCTCTTTTCTAGGTTCACTATTGTTGGAGCATGCTGCTTGGCCGGGAGCGTCTGATACAGATAAATACTGTGCACAAAGGTAAGTATTGTGTAGCCAGCTGGCAGAGAGTGTGATAACATACTGTAGTGAAAGAAGATGAAGGGGTTTGTAGGCTATATTCAGCTTCTCTTACTGTCTCTTCTCAGATGGAGTCAACAGGAACTGTGCCCTGTCTATAAAGCTGAAGCCTCAGGAAGCTACAACTCTGAAGCCCAAGTGCTGGATAAACAGCTGGTATATGAAAGAAGCCCTCTTACTAAAGGAAAATTATAGGTTTGCCAGTGTGTTTTCTTTCCATGTTTAGCAGCCTAATAAGTACAGATGAGGCAAACTATTTTTTTATTTTTTTTTATGATTTTCTTGGCAATGCACTTGGGTTTTATTTCCTAAAACAGGAATTGCTACTTGAAAAGGAAAATGCGTTTTCCACTAATACCGGAGGTAGAAAAACAGCTGTATTGGAGAGTATTTCTGTTTGTCTTGTTTGGCATAAAATGTGCAATGTAGTTAATGAAACCCACGTGTATTTGAGCCATATTATCATAATGTTTTATCACTGTGAAATTAGTACAATTAGCCATACCATGTGCCTTAAAATCGAATAATTATAGTGTAGTATAAATTATATTAACCCTCACTTGGGTTATTTAAAGATCAGTTAGGCGGAGCCTCTCACCGTCAAAAATCAACTACAGACTCCCAAAAACCTCCACACTACCCTGATAGATGGGAGGGACAAAAAAAAGAATCCACACCGTCGGTGGCAACAATGTTTTGCACCAAAGATGACGGGCGGCCATCTTTGGCCCAAAGCCAGGCGGACTCCGGCTCAGACTCTGAGGGGAGTGAAACCGACAAGAACTCTGCTACCCCCCTTACCAAGGAAGACCTCCGGGCGATGCTCCGAGAGACGTCTGCAGATATCAAAGCTTACCCAGATATCCAGCAGCCCTGGAAAAGCAGATAGCAGGCCTCAAAGAAGAAATGGAGGTACTGACCTCACGCACGGATCACAATGAACGCCTGATAAAGGAAACACAAACAAAAACCACAGCCCTAGACAAGGACGCAGGGCTACTACAAGACAGAATACTATACCTGGAAGACGGCCTGGAGGACCTCAATAACAGATCCGCAGACAAAACATACGCATCCGGGGCCTACCGGAGTCAATCCTACCAGACGCCATCCTCCCCACCATCAAAGCGATCTTCCAGTACCTCCTACCCAACACTCCAGAACAAGAACTATACATCGAACGGGCACATAGAGCCCTACGTCCCCCGACCTACAACCCGAACATACCACGGGACATAACAAAACTCCTGCACTTCCCAGTCAAAGAACAACTCACGCAAGCGGCAAGAAACCACCCGCCAACATACCAGGGTCAACAAATTCACTTTTATCAAGACCTAGCACCGTCTACACTGAGCAAACGCTGTGAGCTTAAGCCTCTTACCACGGCACTGATTGAAAATGGTTGGCGCTACATGTGGGGACACCCCTTTAAGCTAACGGTGAAGAAGGGGGAACAAACTTACACCCTCCATCAGATTTCAGACATGCAGGACTTCGCAGCTCACCTGGGGATATCCCTGCGCTACCCACTACCGGACTCTAAGCCCACCACGACGAAGAAAACGAGCCGCAATGGAGGTCCCCACTCATTCCCAGTGCACCCACAGCCCAAGCGGAGGCCCTCGCCAGCATCGCAAGGACAAGACAACCCAGACACCTGATACGCCACAGAGGCGATGACCGGCACCATCCCCACGCTGGCAAAAGGCACCAATTAATGTGCTGGGCAAACAGATCGAAAGCGGACATACTCCTCCTCCAGGAGACACACTTCACCCAAGCCAAACAATTCCCTCTCCTAAGTCGACACTACCGAATTAACCACTTCGCCAGCTCCCCCCACGACAAGCAAAATGGAGTAGCCATCATCGTCCGGAAATCGTGCCCTCTCTCTATCCAATGAACCATAGCCGACCCAGAAGGCCGGTACCTTACGGTAATAGGCAAAATAGGCATGCACCCCTACGCATTCACATCAATATACGCACCAAACACTCCCTCCAGGGCATTCTGGCACACGATACAAGCTCACCTAGCCCTCTTCCCCTCCCACCACTCCATACTAGGCGGGGATTTCAATGCCACACCATCACCAGCGGTAGACAGACGCCGCACACAATCACAAGCACACCGCCAACAACCAACGGCCAAAGCAGACAAAATGCTCTCGAGAACCCACCTGATCAACGCATGGAGATCCCACCACCCCACATCTCTAGATTACACTTTCTTCTCGCACCCACATCAGTCACACTCCCGCATAGACCTCTTTCTCATATCCCCGGTACTGGGACCCATGGTCAAAAACACGAACATAGGCCCCATCACGTGGTCCGACCATGCAGACATAACACTGACACTCAACCTACCTTGCACAACAAGACCCTGATCATGGCGATTAAACCCAACCCTACTACACAACCCACCAATCTGACAAACTGTAGCCTGAGCCATCACAGAATACGTCACACTAAACAAGGACTCGGTAACCTCCAAAGGGTCCCTATGGGCGGCACACAAGGCAGTAATCCGGGGAGTCATGATCAACCAAGCAACCATACACAAAAAAAAAAAAACAGGTAGCCCACCTGGAACAGACACTAACAACTCTCAGGACCCTAGAGGCAAAGCTCAAACTCAACCCAACACCAGAACTAACCAAACAAATCAAAAAATGCCAAACAGACATAAAAGAATACATGGCGAAAGACACAACCAAAGCCTTACTGTGGTCAAAACAATTATTTTATGATAAAGCAGACACGCTACTCGCACGCAGACTCAAAGAACAGAACGCAAACAGATCAACAAAATAAACACACCAGAAGGAGCCCTCACAGAGAAACCAAGTGAAATAGCCAGCGTCTTCCAAAAATACTTCGAAGCCCTGTACGACCCCACACCTGAAGCCAGACAACACCCAACACACACTAAATCACTCATTGACCAATACTTCCACCAGGTCCCACTACCCTCACTCCCCACAGAAGCAGCAGACACTGTCCAGTCCCATCACGCCGGAAGAACTCGCGGAGGCGATAAAAGCGCTGAAACCTAACAAAAGCCTGGGCCCAGACGGGTTCACAGGACTCTATTGTAAAACATATGCACCCACCCTAATCCCTCACCTCTGCAACCTCTACAATGCGATCCTGCAAGGCTACCAACTACCACCAGACATGCTACAGGCCAACGTATACCTCCTCCCTAAACCCAACAAAACGCTCCTAGACCCGGGACACTACCGACCGATCTCACTCCTCAATGTGGACAATAAAGCAGACCGCCTCAACCCCTTTTTACCCCGGCTAATCCATCCAGACCAGGTAGGCTTCATACCAACAAGACAGGCAAACGACAACACAAGACGGACATACGACCTCATCTGGACAGCCCACACAAGACAGATCCCGACCCTAATTCTCTCACTAGACGCTGAAAAAGCTTTCGACAGACTGCTCTGGCCCTTCCTATTTGCAACCCTCGAGAAATTTGGATTCCCACAACGATTCAAGAACGCCCTAAAGGTACTCTACGCCACACCACAGGCCCACCTCTTACTCCCGCTTACACAACCCCCCACCTTCACGATTCACAATGGCACGCGCCAGGGATTCCCACTATCCCCAGTCCTCTTTGCACTTTCCCTTGAACCGCTCCTACAAACCCTTAGACTCAGCACGGACATAACAGGCCTCAAAATACGCGAGGAAGAATACAAAACGGCAGCATACGCAGACAATTTACTCATCACAATCACAGAACCAGCGACCTCCCTGCCACCACTTCTACACGCCCTGGAAACATACGCAGCAGTGTCGGGATACAAACTAAACATTGACAAGACAGAAGCCCTACCCATACACATTGACCCCCCACAACAGCAACCATCCAAGATAAGTACCCCTTCAAGTTAAACTCCACCCACATACAATACCTGGGGGTCTCCATCCCGGCAGACCTCCCCCAAAGCTACGCACTGAATTATACACCCACGATACAAAACATAACCCGCGACATCTCCACCTGGCAAAACAGGTCGATATCCTGGCTGGGTATCAGTCAAAATTAATGTGCTACCTAGGCTCCTATACCTGTTCCAAGCCCTACCAATCCTGATTCGGGGTGCCGACTTCAAATTGCTACAAACAACAATCGACAAATTCATCTGGTCCAACAGATGCGCCAGGATAAAATGTCAAACCCTTTATGTACCCAACAGAGCCGGGGGCCTAGGCTTACCACACCTCACCCATTACTACCAGGCAGCTCAATTAACGCAAGCTCAAAACTGTCACGCCCTGTACGGGGTCAAACAATGGGTAGACCTTGAACACGACATATTCGGCAGAGACCTCCCCTCTCTCTCTCTCTCTATCTCTCTCTCTCTCTCTATATATATATATATATATATATATATATATATATATATATATATATATATATATATATATATATATATACATACATACATACATGTTGTAGAATTATAGAATTCTTGAAATTATCTAAGCTAATGCTTTGTCAGGAAGAAATGTGCTGAATAATAAAATGTGTATTTACTAAAAGAACCTTGAAACTAACAATACTAACTACTCAAAATGGCTGCCAAAGCACCCCTCCCATCGAGTGAACACCTCGTGCTAACAAGATGGCGCCTACATCTTGTGTCCACTCCCGTGTCAAGGATGACATCACCTCTTGATAGGAGGATATCTAACTAACCACTTAACACCTGGACCAATCAATAGTGTCTATTTGCTGTTATCTTGAATTCTTCAGTGATGTAATAATGCCTTTAAAAGGGTCTGCGCACCCATTTTCTGTCAGAAGCCATTAAACTTCTCCGAAGTTCTTTCATTAACCTGAACTCTGTGTCTCAGTGTGAATTTACTTCTGCGTGCACGCAACTTTATTATCTTTAATTTGGACAGGAACAGATAGTCATTCAAACTAATTGGTTTGCAGTAAATTATCTACAACATATATATATATATATCTACCGAAATCAGCGAGACCCCCCCCTGCCCCGCACATCCCCGGCAATAATCAACACCATAAACATTTGGGACAAAACAACTCAAAAAAGCGGTCTCACAACACTCACCACTAACCCCGCTGCTCCGCAACACCCATTTCCCACCGGGCATGACACCCAAAGACTTTGCCCGCTTTGAAGCAAATGACCTCACCCGACTATACCACTTCTACAGAAACCAACAACCAATACCTTTCTCAGACCTCCCACAAACCACACCATACCGCACTTTCGACATGTTCCGCCACATCCAAATCAAAAGCTTCCTGGAAACACCAGCAATCAAACAAGCAGGTACTAAAGCACTCACACCCTTCGAAAAACAATGCATACAATCACCAACACAAAAAAAACAACAAATATCCGCACTCTACACACACATAAATCAAAACGTCAAAGACGGAGCCCTTACATATGTGTCGGCTTGGGAGAGGGACCCATCCGATTGGGCCGAGATCTGGGAGGCCATAGCCTCCATATCAATATGCGTCAACCATAAGGAACAGGCATACAAGACGCTAATGAGATGGTATCTTACCCCCCTAAAGCTCAAACAGATGGGCAGGTCAGACACAGACTCCTGCTGGAAGGGATGCGGACAAAAGGGTACCTTCACATGTGGTGGGACTGCACAACTCTGGCAACAAGTAGCTTCCATGGTATCGAGAATCCTCCACACAGATATATCACTAGACCCCTGGACGTGGCTCCTATCCAAACCACTAACCAACACACCCAGGGCTCAAAACAAACTAATAGCCAAAATAGCACTAGCCACCAGGAGAGCCATAGCAGAAAAATGGGGCAGCCCAGACACCCAGTCAATGGACACAGAAAAACGCAAAATAAAAGACGCAATTAAAATGGACGAAATGTCCGCACTGGTCCACGACACGACTAAACACTTCCATAAAATCTGGGACCCCGCTAGCAGCGCATCGGAGCGGCCACGCTTTTGTGAACTCCGACTCAAACGCGACATAAAAGTACCCTTTTCACGGCGGAAACAGATCCAAAAGAACCCACACAGCTTCCTAAGCCTCACTGCAGACCATGGGCCGAAAATCTAAAAAGGCAAAAGCTGAGAAAGGCACTCACGGCAGAGACATCGGCGACATGCTGAGGAACACACAACAGGCCGTATGGTCCAAAATGGCGGACGACCTTGCCTCATATTCCTCGGAGGAGCTTGATACAGACCTCACGGAGGGAACGAGCTTCGGTCCCACACCAGACCACTACAATACACCTAAAGCGCCTGGGGAACCAGTCACAGCGGATCAGTTAAAGAAAATGCTGGCTGATCTGCGCAGGGACCTGGCAGCGGACATGGCCTACTACAGAGAGGCCATAGAAGGAGCCCAGTCCAAAATCTCGCGGCTGGAGGCCTGCTCGAGTACACAGGACTCCAGAATAGCCAAAGTGGAACAACAAATGCCAGATCTGTCGAAGCAGCAGACCGCCACCACGGAACGGCTAGATGCCTTAGAAGATCAGCGGAGGAGGTACAACTTAAAAATCCGAGGAATACCCGACTCAGTTGGCCTCTCTGAGCTGCCCCACTACATTAGACGGTTCCTGGGAGCCCTAATCCCACCTAAACAAATGAAATCCCTGAGACTAGACGGGATGTTCCGACTACCAAAGCCGGCAAGAGCTCCAGCTGCCGCACCTACAGACCTCATACTGCGCTTCCAATCCCTGTCGGACAAAGCTACACTCCTAGCTGCACTACGTAACAAGACACCTTTGCCATTTGAGGGCACAACTCTAACAATCTTCCCAGATATTACCAAGAGCACCCTTACCTGGAGGAAATCAATGCAACCCCTCCTGCAGCACCTCCGAGCCAAAGAGATGCCCTACCGATGGGGAACACCGCGAGCAGTAATCTTCACCCATAACGGGATAACTCACAAGGCACAGACCTTCCAGGAACTAGAGTCACTCCTCACGACCATGGGCATAATTCCAGCAGCGCCAACGAAAGGCACAGGACTGTCCCAGCTTGACCTGGCGAATGTACGGGAGTTCACCCCGAGGGAGACCCAGAAGGCATTGCCAAATAGACACCCCACTTGAGGCATTAAGGATAGCCCAAGCTATGGGGTCACTATAATTCCGCCAAGAACGTTCCTCACATAGTTTGAGACTGCTACTAGAAGGTCTATCAGTTACTTTGTTAAAGTTTTATTTTCGTTGACAGTTACAATTCTTTTTTGTCTTTTTTACACATACTCACATACAATCCGTGCTTAACGACATAGAGCTGCTCCACACACACATGAGACAGCTGACGGAACTAGTCACACACAAATAGGCCGCCCGCACAGAAGAACTCGACAAGTTCACACACAGATAGGCTATCACGACACAACTTCAACGAGGCTATACAAATCTGCTCACAGCCATGGCGGAGTAGCCTTTCTCCCCCCCACCCCCCTCCCCGGTCTTTCTTTACCAGTCATGGGTTGAGTCCAACCTCAAACACGCATACACAGCTCTCGGGCTAGGGGGACCCCCCCACCTGACTAACACAAATCTAGATTTACACTTAATTAACTCATTCACGGGGGGTACAAGTGATGTATACTGTTTTTGTTTATAAACTTGCAACCAAACCATAAAAATGTGCAATGTACACTAATGCCCAATATTGTTTTGAAATGTTGACATCTCGGTTGGTACATGTTGTTGTGGCATTGCCTGCTATTATGTATTTTATGAGCACAATAAAATAAAGAATTTAAAAAAAAAAAAAAAATCTGGGACCCATGGTTCTACGAATTCCCACTCCCCACCTGAAACACATACAGACCCACCCCACACAAAGTCACACCACAGACACTCCACCCACAAACACCATATTGAACCACCATCCATCCCCCTTACCCCAACCCTCCCCCTCCCCCCCCCCACACCTGGGGAGACGCAATCCCACAGACGCAAACCACAACCCATGACCACCAAAACCGAGAGAATCATCAGGCAACATCTCCCTGGAGATGAATCTTAACCCACAAACCAGGACACACCGTAACACACTCAGGGAGACTGAACTCAACCGAGATACCAAGAGGCGCCCCGAAACAGCTAGACCTCCACTAACACACAACAGAATCACCACAACACAAAACAAATGAGCAAAACCACAACCCAGAACAAAATGGGGCACCCAGAACACACACACACGAACCAAAATAGACAGGGCGACACCATGCACGGGCCACAAATCCTGTGCACCACATGACAAATATCGCATAACACAAATCAACATGGACACTTCATTACGCAAAAGGCTCACATAGGTCAACACACTCTCTATCCCAACTGGCTGCACCAAAATAAAAAGAATCAGAACTAAAATAAAGGCACAAAGGAAAATGTGGGTGAGTGTACCCTACCCCCCACCCTTCTTTTTTTCTGTACCCCACCCAAACCCCAAAACAATGATGACAGACATGTAAAACTGTTAAGCTTGGTCAAATGCCATGTTAGAACATCCCCAAGTTTTCATTTCTGTACCCCCTCCCCAAACAACAAATCTTCTAAAATAAAGAATTTATAAAAAAAAACAGTTGCTTTTTTGATATAGAATATATTAACAATGTAATTGTACTCTCCTCACTCTCATCGAACACAAGGTTCATTCCCATAAATCCCTATTTGCCCTTCCTTGCACTTTAAAAGTCTTATATGTTGTCCAGCTGTCAAATCTCAATACTACAAGGTATGCAAAAACTTGAACAAGCTACTAATGAAGAACCTGCCCCCCCAGAGCATGTATACATGTACTGTACCACAAACTGCATATCTGTTTTAGATCTCCACATCCTAAGACACGCAAGCTGAGAAAGGTATATGGTTGCACGCACTTGTTCTACGTATACTTTGTAGACAACGAAAGTCAATGCAACCAGAATAGCTGGTACTTGTAAAAACAAAAGAAATGTGCCTGCTTATTAAACATCATTGTCTTAACTCGTAAACTTTGTTTATCCCACGTATCACCTGTGTGTGGCTGAATGTCTATTTCATGTGCTTTTCTTTATAATATAATAATTTATAATAATTATAAAAACCTAAAAATAAAGATGGTCAAAAAAAAATACGTAATTTAAAATGAAAATCTTAACAAAATGTTTGTTGTTTTTTTCTTGTCAAAATATGGAAATCTTACTTTTAAGTCAGTTTTCTATCACTTTAGTTTTTACCATTGATTTGCAATTCTTCTGCGGGCTCTTTTGGATCTTGGAACTTTTGTTTAAATAACAACTCTAACATTAGAGAGACACTATAGTCACCAGAACAACTACAGCTAACTTAAGTTCTTCTAGTGAGTATAGTCAGTCCCTGCAGCCTTTTTGCTGTAAAGACGGTCTTTTCAGAGAAAAGGCAGTGTTTACATTGCTCCCTAGGAACTCCTCTAGTGGCCACTGCTGACACTAAACTTTCTCCATAGAGCTGCATTAATTCATGCATCTCTATGAGGAGATATTGATAGGTATTCCAGATGTTCGGCATGGCATCTCCTAACTATTTTACAGCCGTTCCCTCTTGTTGACAGCCTTCTTAATGCACCTTAGATTGGACAGTTAACACTTGGAGGTATGAGACTCCTGTCACTAGGTGACCATAATGGACAGGCCTGCCCATTATGGGCATAACCAGTGACAAAGTCCTTCCTCAATAAGAAGAAAGAGGACGCCCACTGGACCACTAATGAACTTGGGGTTTAGCCCTATTTAAGGAGACTTGAGGGTGGGGGTTGTCAGGCTGCTTTTTTTTGTTGTATATTGTCATTTTGTGATTTTCTTTTATTATATAGTCCTATTTCTATATAAAGTACTATTTCTTAAGGACGAAACGCGTAGGAGTCACCATATTAATTTTAAAGATTTTTAATGCTGTATTCAATAAAAGCTGCTTTTTTTCAACTGACCACTTGAGGTCCTGTATTCCAGTGGTGTACGTCCAGGGAAGTAGACAACAGCCCCCCGCCACCATCTGGGGAGGCACCTTATGAATGCCTACTTACGCTACCTTCTTGTGAGTGCATCTAATTATAGTGCACATAATTTCACTATGTGGGTTTACACTAGGCCTAGAACCGAACCATACCAGACAAAATTGCCTATAAAAGCCGCAATATCGCAGCCTAAGTGCAAACTGAACATGGACAAACAAGACAAGTCCAATTTCTTTGCCTCCAGAACGGTCAGGGGAAGAATCTCCAATTTTCTCCCACCAGACACACCTTGAGACATCCTGCTCAGACTACACTACTTCTATGCGAAGGAAGCGGTTATGAAGGCAAGCAGAACTAAGAAAGACCTACCTGACCCTTATACTGGGCTGCTGATCTTCGCAGAACATCACCGGATCTCTGCTGATCTTCCAGAACATCACCGGATCTCTGTAAGAGAATCATCTGCCTTAACGCTGGTGCACCCCACTAGGCTTCTGGTTACCCGCAACGGGAAGCTCACAGTGATATCATTTTTTTTTTCTCAGACGTGTACCTGCCTTATGTAAGTTTTGGTGATGCTTATGTAATTCAGGCCTTGGTACTATGCCATCATCAATATCATAAATATACCATAAATATATCTCCAGGTTCATTTCGTATCCTGAGACTTTAGAATAGTTGTTTATGTCCTCCAATAGTTCTGGGACCGAGATGTTTGGCTCTTCTAATGTTAGTAAGATTTTATCTGCATAAATAATTAATTTGGTTTGTCCTATCAAAATTGTGAATAATTAGATTTTTGTTTTGTTTTGTCTTATTAAAATCGCTAGGGGTTCTAACACCATTGTATACAGTAAAGGGGAAAGAGGACACCCTTGTCTAGTCCCATTTTTGATATTGAAGTTTTGTGATGTGAATCCTGAACCTGTTACCCTAGCTGATGGAGAGCTGTAGAGAGTGGACACGGCTTGTGAAGTTGATCCAGTGATTCCAAACTGTTTTAAGGTGGCGAACATGAAACCCCATCCAACCCTGTCAAACGCTTTCTCTGCGTCTATTGACAGAAACATTAGAGGGGTTCCATTGTTCTCTGTTTCTTATAATATGTTTATTTTTCTGAGAGTTGATTGGGGACCTCCCTGGTATGAATCCCGCTTGGTCATGGATTAATTGTTGTATTACTATTTTTAATCTGTCGGCAAGAATGGAAGATAGTATTTTAATATTTGTATTGATTAATGATATACGTCTGTAATTGGCAATATGTTCTGGGTCTTAATCTGCTTTTGGGATGGCAACAATGTTTGCTCTCAACAACTCTCCAGGACAGTCTCCTGTTTCCATTAGATAGTTAAAAATTCTGGTGAGTTCCCCTTTTAGTTGATTTTGCATTAGTTTGTAGAATTTGTTTGTTAAGCCATCTGGGCCTGGAGCAGTCTTTATTTTTAGTTTATCTATAGATTTACTTACCTCTACTTCTGTTATGGGCTGGTTTATCAGCCTTAATTGGTCGGGTAGGATTTTTTGCAAAAAAAAATTCTCAATCTCTTTTTCCTTACCGAATGTTTCTTCTGGTAAACTGTATAGATTCTGGTAAAATCTTTAAAACGCTCCACCTATTTTTTTTTCTTGGGCCATTAGGTAGGTTTTTTTTTTTTGTATATTACTCTTATGTTTATCTTTTTTCAATTTATTGGACATAATTTTTTTCTGGTTTATTGCCTTTTAAGTACCATTTAGCTTGTAATGCTTCTAATTGTTTTGTTGCTTTGTTCAATAATTGGTTGTTAATCTGTTTTTCTGTTTCTGCAATTTTACTTACTGTTTGTGTGGGGGTGTGGTTTTATTTTGCCTTTTGTATTCACTTAGTGCTATATATATATTTTAAAGAGAGGCGGTAATCCTTTTTTATTTTCGATGGCTGCCATTTTTCTCAAATGACTCTAAACTACACTTTTATAAGCACACCAGACTTTTTTTTTTCTAAAAAGGAGAGATTTATTTTTTAAATTTCTTCCACATTATTTTTTTGTGTAATATAAAATCTTTTATGCGCCTCTCTTTACAAAAAGTATCGAAGTTATGTTTGTATTCCAATAGGATAGGGCTATGGTCTGAACATGCTATATCCTGTATCTCTATGGTCACGTTTCCCAAGATAAGATCTATTCTGGTACATGAGTTGAATGTTTTAGAATAACATATGTAATATAAATTAGAAAGATGGATATATCTCTTTATGATTATGATTGTTTAGTTAGTTTTGCAATCTGTTCCCACCTGTTTTCCTATCATTCTGGCTCTGTCTTTTAGCGGGTCAACTACGCAATTGAAGTCCTCCATAATTAGTACCAACCCTTGTTGGATCTTCTCTAATTTTTTAAAGCACTTATACATTTTATTGTAGCTTTATTTGGGGCATAGATATTGTCTAATGTGAATAGCTTGTTATTTATTTCACATATTAAAAAAATATATCGGCTTTTTGGATCTAATTCTTGATGTTCGCAAAAAATGCGACGCCTCTTTATTTTTCTTCCAATGCTGCACTTATAATAGTGGAGTACCTTAGTGAATTTATTGTATTCTCTTTGGATCTTGTCCAATGCGTTTCTTGCATGGCACAGATTTGTACCCGATTTAATTTTTTTTTTAAATCAAAAAAACCCCTAAAATTATAGACATTTTACATGGTGTATTAATCCCTCGGGCAGTTATGGAGATCAACTTTAATTTGTAGTTTATTAGTTTTTGGAACTCTCTCCAAATGTTACCATATATATGAGAAAAACAAAGAACGCTTCTTTACAGGTATTTGCACAAAAATAAGACTGGTTGATCCAAATCAATGGCATCAACCTAAAACAAGCGTAATGTATGGCGGATAACCCCCGTCATACATTAATAAAAACACATTCCTCAGATACAGGTCCCACGTGTCATGTGGGAAAAGCGTGCTGAGGGTAATCTATCTGAGATGAGCCTGCCTAGAGACACTGCTAGTAGGAGAGAGGAGAGGAGAGAAATAAAATATAAGGATAAGAAAAAGAATAAAACAAAAAAAAGGTGTAAAAATGATAAAGGATATCTAAATCTAATCCCTTCAAATTTTCATCATATTATTGCATGAATTATTATATAAGTGTTATTATCTCTCTATTTCCTACTTTTTCATTGTACAAAACTTGTGTTATTCTTAAACTTATCTCTCTTTCCCTTACCCTTAAACTTTCTTTTCCTCCCTATCTAGGTATATGCATTTCTATGTTTTTATAACTTCCTTTAACTTTAATATAACTTTTTCTGTGTCTCTTAATTAGTTTCCTTCTTATTGTGATCCTAATAAGGATAATTTTCCTTCAATTTGTGTATTAAATTATCTTGTTATATGCCTGCTTGATCAAATTTTAATATAAAATAGACAATTCTTTATTTTTTTTCCCCTTCATTTCTCCTAAGTTCCTAAATCTACTATTGTTTATATTACCCAATTAATCCCCTTATCCCCTAGTGCTGTTAAACAATAAAAGAAAAAAAGAAAAAGAAAAAAATAAATAAATTGTCTTTCCTAATTAGAAGGTTGTGCCGCCAATGCGGATTTGTTGCTTTTCTCTCTCTTTTCCCTTCCCTTTGTTGACTGATGGATGGGGCTGTTTCCGATTTTTTTTTATTTTTATTGAACCGGCTATTCAGGTCTTCTGCACCAGTGATGTAGGCGAGTTCCCTTCATGTAATATAACAATTTTTATGGGGAACCCCCAACTATAATTGATATTGTTCTGTCTCAGAATTAGTGTGGCTTCAGAAAAGGTCTTCCTCTTTTGTCTGGTTGACCTTGACAAATCCTGGAATATTTTTAATGTTTCATATTCCTCTGCGCATTCATTACTTCTTATGGCTCTCAGAATTTGCGTCTTTTAGAGGAGGCACAGCATATCAGTACATACGTTGGGAAATGTTCTGGGATGCCTTTAGGTTTGTTCACTCTGTGGCATCTTTGAGACGAAGGGTCAACCTCCTTGGGTGCCCCCTCTTAGGATTATAGCCCTTACATAGAGTCTTTACTTAGGCAATGGTTATATTACAAACACACACATATGCAGTTGGCCAATGTTTGGTGCAACCCCCTACCCACGAGACACCATGTGCTTCAGTTTCCCAGGCACGGACTCATAGTGCCATGTCAAATAGTTGACTGTATTGTTTTGTACTACCCACGTTCTGTTTTTAGTTTTGTTTCAAGGCCAGGTGAGTGGCCTATACCCCCCATTCTGCATGACCCTTGGTGATGGAAACCTAAATCCAAACTTGCCCACTGGGCATTCTCCATTGTGGCACAGAGCCAGACCTACTGCCCATCCCCATTCGCACAAATGACCACATACAAATATTGCAGAATGACTACCCCACTCAATTCCATGCTACCACACCATTTAAATCAGAAGGTACCTCTATATTATTGAGTAAGAATCTCTTGTTCACTCTCCACTCGCAAGATATAGATATCAACGGGAGATATGTGATAATTTTCGGGCTAATAAATAACATTACGTACACGATCGCCAATGTGTAGGCACCCAATATAAATAAAAGAAACTTCTTATACAAAATATTGCAAAAGTTGGCATCTGTACAAACGGGGATCACAATTATAGGTGGGGATTGTAATCATGTATTGGACCCCTAAGCTGACTCCAAGCTGTCCCATCATTGCCCCAGACACACAGTCCTCAAAAGGCAGTGCAGGCAGCTGCAAAATCTTCTTACCACACATCACCTCTATGATGCATGGAAGATCACCCACACCAATAAGGCGTTCACACACTGCTCAGCAGTGCACAACACCTATTCCCGCATAGACTGATTCTGTATACATGGGTCAACACTGAACCAAATCGTTAAGTGTGAGATAGGCCAAATCACGTGGTCGGATCACGCTCTGGTCACACTAACTCTCAAAGATCACTACAATTTTAAACACTGTACCCCATGAAGACTCAACGCCTACTTGCTCCATGACACACATTTCACAAGCTCTCTTCACACACAACTATGCCTTTACTTTACCCAAGAAAATAACACCCAGGACATATCTGCATGTGGCCTCTCTATACGCAGAGCAGCCTGCTTACGTAAAACATCACAAATTACCAAATGGAGGACCGAACTATATGACTTGAACACCCAAAACCAATTGCAACCCTCAACGGACCTAAAAAATCCAATCCACAACACCACAAAACAGCTCCACCAACACGCCCTAGAGAAAACTGGTTACATGTTGTGGAAATTGAAGGCCAATTATTCTCAGGACAAGAAAGCGAGCAAATTGTTGACCCATAGATTAAAAGTACGACAGCCCCAATCTAAAATAGCTTTTCTTATGTCCCAAACAGGTGAAAAAATAAATGATCCCAAAAGCTATCAGTGATGCTTCTGCTTCCTACTATTCAGAGTTATACAATATTAATCAGGACACAGATACAGCCCAGCCCACCGCACCTACCATACAAGAGTATTTGGAAAAGATCCAACTACCCACATTGACCCCCGGCCAACAGTTGCATCTCACTAGTCCCATCATGGAGGAGGAAATAACTAAGGTGATTCAGTCACTGCCGTCGGGCAAATCTCCTGGACCCGATGGCTTTGATAATTCTTATTATAAAAAAAAAAAAAAAAATCAAAACTCTTTTAGCACCACAACTGCTTAACCTTTAATGAGGCAAACTCCCAGAGAAAGCTACGTGAGGATGTCCTCTTGGCTCACGTGATCATCCTGTCCAAACCCGGCAAACCACCCACACACCCACAAAATTTTAGACCAATCTCTTTATTAAATACAGACCCAAAATATTTGCTAAGCTCTTTGCTACAAGATTAGGTTCTATCTTCCCCTATATCATACACACCGACCAAGTCGGATTTGTGGTGGGGAGACAGGGCTTGGAGAGCACCCAAAAAGTGTTAAACATTTTGTACAACATGAAACATCCCTGGGGAGGAGGGGTGCTCATGGTCTCTATTGATGCAGAGAAACACTTTGACTGCCTCTATTTTTTTTTATTTTTTTTGAGGAGGTCATTTGGGATTCCTGATGGATTTCAAGATGTGGTAAAGGCCATATACAGCACACTGGGGGCAAGGGTGCTCAATGCCGGCTTCCTCTCAGATCCATTCCACATAACTAACAGTACTCGGCAGCGGTGCCCCCTTTCCCCTCACTATTATGTAATTGCGTTGGAGCATCTGGCAACTTGCATCCGCACTAATTCCGACATACATGGAGTACAAATAGGAAACCGGGAATACAAGGCAAACTTATTTGCTGATGATGTCTTGCTCATGCAACCCCAAATATCTCTACCAAACTTACTGAAAGAAATTACCCCCTATGGCCAACAATCCTAGTATAAGCTCAATGTCACTAAAACGCATGCCGTGGGCATGGATATAGACACAAATACACTACAATAATCTTTCGCCTTTGACTGGAGAACAGACCACATCTCCTTTCTGGGACAAAAAAAAAAAAAAAAAAATCACCAAAAGCCCACAAGACCTATTCAAACACAATTACGAACCCTTGTGAAAGGAAATAGCGGCTGTGCTGCAAACTTGGGAGGCAAATTTCTTTCCTGGGTGGGCAAAACTTCAGTATCTCTTTCGTACACTTCAAATACGATTATTGAAACCATATTTACACCAACTGCAGAAACTATTCGGCCAATTCAAATGGGCTAAACGGAAGACTCGGGTGGCTTCGAAGGTCTTTCACAGATCTGTAGCGGAGGGCAGACTGGGGTTCCCCAACATAAAACTCTACCATAAGGCTGCACTACTGTCCACCATAATATCACTCAATACAGACCAGCCCCCACAATTGCTAGCTATTGAGGCTTTTTGGGCACTGTTACGAATGCTGGTATATTAGATACCCTGTTCGCATATTTCCTCCTGAACTGCTGAGCCTGTTTGATTATAGCTTGCACTTCAGGTGTAGATTCGAACGGTTCCAGACGAATGCAGCATCCAAGTAGTTTTCTCCCCAGCAAGTAGACAGTCACCCAAACATGAACCTAGACTTTATGAAGGGTACAACAGGAATGATTTTAATGGGTGCCACACTGGCTTTTATGTCCCCACGCAAGGGGCACTCCCACATGGATCTTGTGGGGGACAGGGACACAAAATTTACAACCAATAATAACACAATGACAAAGTGTGACACTCCCAATACAAACAGATAATTCTCTCCTCTCAGCCTGTGAGATAATTGAGTCAGATAAAGTAATAACTCAATTATCTCCAGGCAGAAAAAACACTTTTCATAAAACTTGAAAAGTACCCCAAAACCCCTATAAATGTTATATCCTCTGATAGCCCTGATCTGGATGACCAACATATCCAAAAATCACCCAGATCAGAGCAGGGGTTTTGGAATTTTATGGAAGTCCCAATTGGACCGTCAATTTCAAAAAGTTACAAAAACTAATAAATGCACGAATGGAACCCCCTGGCTCGTGGGAATCAAACTACCGAACAGCGCTCTCCTGGCTGTTTGGGAAAAGGAAGCAGGCGTTTGTATACTTTGACCGGTGTTCGGGAAGTAGTATCCGATTTTAGTTCTAGACACTCGATGACCAAGTCCCGCTGCCTCCTTTTGTGCGAACATGATGGCCACCGTTTTCTCTTGCACATGGCGTTCAACTATACGAACCGCGGCCACACAGGGAGAGCACTTAATTGACTGTTTCCTTTGAAGATAATGAGCCAGGAAGGGTGGTCGGTGTTCGGTAGCTACAGCACCAATAAAACATAAAAGTCCCGAATGGCGTGCTAGGTTCATCACAGGCACATAAAGCGAAACTCCCATACCTAATCTGGTTGCCGAAAAGGCAGAGACAGGCAACGCCGAACCTCTTGCCAACCACTGCAACACTGATTTCAGTGTGGGACACGTATAGGGACAAGCTGTGCAGCGTCGAACCATGATCCATGGCCACACCACTGAAGAGCATAAAAATTACCAATCCCCCGTTTGATCATCGAGTGTCCTGTGGCTGCACACACATTCAAGACCTCTTCTCTCAAGGTGCATTCAGGCACTTTCCAGACCTCCACAGGAACTATGCACTCCCACACAGAATGCTCTTATCATACCTCCAGCTCAAATTCGTATTGACACAACAAATCTCGCAGGGGTTGCAACATACCACATGCACAACTTTTGAACAGGCCTGTATGTCGCCAATTACCTCCCAAAAAACACTCTCAACGAGCTATCACCTGTTGAATGCAAGACACACAGACCAGGTAGACACATACCGACTAGCATTGCAAGTGGACAATAGCCACACATTTACTGATATACAAAGGAAAAATGCGTTTAAACCACACCTGGGTAGAACAGCTTGTGTCTCCCACCTGGAGCAAATGCGCAAACGCTACTACAGGTGGTACATAGACTGGTGGGGATCTACCCTAACTCCTCAAACATATGCTGGAGGTGTAGGGCTAGCAAAGACACCATGTACCATATATGGTGGACATGTCTCCTGATGAGGCCCTTTTGGCAGAAGGGCGAGCAGACACTCTCTAACATACTACAGAGGGAAATAACACTTAAAGGGACACTCCAGGCATCCAGACCACTTCTGCCCATTGGAGTGGTCTGGGTGCCAACTCCCACTACCCTTAACCCTGCGGGTGTAATTATTGCAGTTTTTATAAACTGCAATAATTACCTTGCAGGGTTAACTCCTCCTCTAGTGGCTGTCTACTAGACAGCCACTAGAGGGCACTTCCGGGATTATAGCATAGATTTTCTGTGCTATAGCGTCGCTAAAATCCCCATAGGAAAGCATTGAAAAGGCATTGCCGCACATGCGCATTAGGTCTCCCCTGCCAGCTGATGTGATGAAGGGGAGGAGCGTGGGCGGACACAGAAGCAGCAGCGAGGAACATCGTTGCTGCCTCTGGTAAGTCACTGAAGGGGTTTTGACCCCTTCAGCAACCGGGGATGGGAGGTGGGAGGGAGAAGGGACCTGCAGTGCCAGGAAAATGGATTGCTTTCCTGGCACTGGAGTTCCTTTAAACCTGAACTGGGGTTATTGTTCCTGACCCTGGACGGGTTTCAAAAACTCAACTCACTCTTGGCATGCCATCTGCTCATTGCAGCCGACATGTTGGTGGCTAGAACATGGAAATCAGCCACAGAGCCCCATCAGAAGGTGAACTGCTAGATTCTGTCTCCATGAACATGGCATATGAACACATGGCAAGCACCCAAATTAGACCAAGCAGAAATATGGCAGAGATTAAAAATATCTGGGAAACTTCTGTTAAAACATGGCGCACCTAGCACACGCTGGAGCGTGCACAGCTTATGTTCGAGGATGCTGATTCTTCTCATGATGGGGTGTCGGATGGGAGTGGGGCTGCTTGACCAATGCATTTTACCACAAGGTTCAGGGCAAAGGGTAAACTCATAAAACAAAATAATTGAGTAATTGTTCCCACACAACTTGTTACAGGTTGCAGATCACATCTCTGGCACTACTAACACTTATTCATCACCTACCCACATTGTTACTACCTTGTGTCCTACACTCCCCCCCCACGTTCGCCCCCAGACTCACCATCAACTTGTTGCACAGCGCACGAGACACGCTGGCCCTAGTGGACGCACTTAGCAATCTTAAAAGGCTATACTCCTCAGGAGAGGACATACAGGGCTTAGGGCATGACTCACTACTGTTAATATGTGATCAGGACTAGCATGTGAATATTAGATAACACTGTCATCTTGTACTCCTGTGTGTTATCATGCCAGATCTCAATTGGATGTGTTACTCCTCATAACAAAATGGAGGTTTTGTGCAAGAAGTTGCTTTATTTTGTCTGCACTTCTCTTCTTTATCCCAATTTTAAAACCAATAAAAATGGTCAAATTTAAAAAAAAAATAAAAAAAAAATATATTATATATATGGGAGGATAATCTAATGTCTTCATACATTCTAATAACATGTCCTTTGGACATAATTCGAGATTATTTTGGCAAAGATTAATACTGCATAAATTATGATATTACAAATGCAGCTCTATTGCTATCACTCAGTGATGAATGATGGTTGTAAATGTATGTTATGAATGCATTACTTTAGCTGGAGATTTAGAAGTGTGTACTAGTTTAACAGACACTGGGTTATACAGCCGTGTAATGGTGTGTGAGTCTTTGAACATAACTGCTTACATGTTTGTGGTATCAGTGACTTTGTAATCATTGCCACACAGCCAGTAGGAGACATTTGGACCCGTTGGTCTTTACATTACTAGGAATTTCAGGATGCATTGTCAAAAAACAACAACTCCATACTTAAAGTATACGTACACACAGAAGAAAGCGATGGCAAAATTAGCACTGTTGATATAAATAGCTACAGGTCTTAATGTGGAGCATATTGACTTTCCTATCTTGTCGGAAGATTTTTACCTTGCTTTACCTTTTTGACATTTCCTCAATCTTGTGTGATCTGTAATTGCATGTTTTTGAATTGTAATTGGGCTAATTAAAAAGCAAGCTTGTATAAGATACGGGAAAACGATCATTTGTAACCTCATACAGACACGCTTTTTTTTTTTCCCCCCCCTCATCAAAAAACTAGATTCATCTTTTGTTGTTTGCAGAGAAAGACATTGCCAGTTTGTAAGCAAATATACTCTAAAGGACATAAAACACATTCTTAAATTTACTAAAAGCGGCACTGTCACCATCTAGAGGCTTTGCAGAATTTGCCAAGACCCCCTAAGGTGACATTGCCGCTGGGGTTCCGGTGGCCAGGGTGGGGGAAGGCAAAGGCGAGTTATACTTACCTGAACCTGTCCCTTGCCGGCACCACCATCTTCTTCCAGTGGATCCTCGTTAGTCGATGTCACTGCTGTACTCTGACGCATGCATGAGAGTACGGTATTGAGGTCTATGAAGTATCCAGCAAGACATTGAAAAAGCAAGAAGGGAAGCTATACCATAAATGTTCTGAAAAGTATACATACTGAGATGCTTCAAAGGAAGAGAAGTACCATGAGGATTTAAAAAATAAAAGAGAGGAGTTGCCAAGATGAAGAGCTAATGAGAGGTGAGTTATCCCTCTCAGATAAGGAAGGTTGGGTGAAGATAACTTTAATGAAACGAAACCCCTTAAAATGACTATAGAGCAATTAGAGAGAGAATTGAGAGAAGTAAAGGAGAACCATTTCACAGAAGTAGAGCAGAAAGACATGAGGGAAGGAAATATGCATACTGGTCCCCTAGACTTATTTCCCTTAAGAATAGATTGTAAAGGGGACATGGCTTGACGGGGAAACGAGCTAGACGTGCTGACTTAGAGCTCCGCACCGGCCTCCTAATAAAAAGCTAACTTAAGGTCAATTACAGCGACTCTACACCGGGTCATCTGATCCTTAGGCACCAATCAGAAACTCACTATCCCAGAATTCATCCAAGCCTTCAGACTTTCGTGACGTAAGAGGCTCTACTTCTCCTCGCCATAGAGAAGGTTTGCATCGACAACCTGGAGTTTTACTTCTAAGCACACCCTTTCCGTCACTCAGTCGACTTCTACATCAAGGTTTCCACACACCAGTTCCACACAGGTCTGGTCACACTCCTGTCCGGTATTCACGAGTGTCAGAACCTTCAGTCCGCATTAATAGACCCCGCAACACAATCACGTTGCTTAAATAGGTATTTGACAACCATATTAATTACCTACCCCTAGCCTCCATTCATTGATTTCCTCTAAGGAATTCTCCCAGCACTATGCCAAAGGGATTGACCGGAGCTTGGGTGGGCAAGACAGACATTTCCTATGCCTCCAAGCTTCTACCTATTCAGTCATCCCGTCATGACTTTCCCACACGTGCAACTTTTAGAGCAAAGAGTAACCCCAAGCTGTTTGTCTTATTTGCTAACAGACTATGTTGACTAACACTTAATATTAGCAAATGTCCTGCAGTCACCCGTTATCTTAGATAACTTCCTCGCGATAGAACGCCCTCACTCTGCTCTGGTTAGTATACAAGACAATGGCACTTTTCCTCACTATGGGTTCCCCTTTCACAAACTGACCTTCTAAGGCATTCATCTTGACACTAATATGCTACAGAACATGTCCACCTACAGCGCATGGGAGTCCTGGGAACCTTTCCTTCTGAAGAACTCGCGGGGTGGGGGGAGGGGAGAATGGATCTACAGTCCTACTAGGCACATTGAAGTTCGCCATGAAAATTATTCTGCACATTTTTATTTCTCGGCCGCTGAGTCTTCTTCCCAGCGACAGTTGCATTCTGGCACTAGTTGTAAGCAGACCTACACATATGGCTCAGGTTCATACCACACTGGAATAGCAGGCCAGGTTATTCCCGCCATTTCTCATCATTTCCCAGTTACATGGACCTATGTGTCCGCACACACTGATTTCACAGCCAATTTGGTGACTTTTGGTTCAGAGATGCCTGGCTAGTTGAGACTCAAAAAAACAAAACAAAAAAACCCCCCAAAAAACGTTCCATTCCTCGTCAACATTTCTTTGGAATCTACCCCATAGTGGCCGCCTACAAGGCCTGGGGAGGTATGAGTGGATAGGGGAATCTGTCAAGTGCTTCTCTGACAATAAAGCAGCTGGCAATACCCACATTCCATGGCTTCATCCTGCAATAACTCGCCTCATGGCGGGCATACAATAGAGATTTCACCTTTACAACAAGTTTACCACCGATTACCATAATACCGATATACGTTCACTAGTCGCCATTGCGACACTCCTCTCTTTTTTGCCCACACAATTTAAAAATCTCTCTTAACACTACAAAAAAAAAAACTTACCTGGCTGGAATACAACAACATATATTAAGTGCCTATCCTAGTACCAAACAGTTCACATCCTCTTACCATATGTAATACATAGGGACATAAGGACTATGCTACGGACAATAAGGTGCCGGTCAAAATGTCAGACCTTTACAGGTTATCACTCACTGGACCAAATCTCAATATGCCCCTATTTAACTGCAGGGCAAACCACTGACTACATCTAAATTCATAATGTACCTCTTAACTAGGCAGGGACTCAACCCCAATGCCTTTTCGGGACATTCCTCCAGAATCAGGGCCGCATCAGATGCTTCCAGACAATGTCCCTGCTCACACCATAAACATTAGGACGCTGGAAATACACAGTATATTACTAGATATATACCACAACCAGAGCTAGAGTTGAGTAGGACAAGCCTTTACGAATCTTGCAACGTAAAGATGTGTAATAAGGTATCTTATTCAACTTTTTGCCCTCTTTTATTACAGGCCTACCCGATACGTCGGTTTCGGCACACCACAACCGACTTGCTCATATATCTAACTTATCATGTATACGGCTTTTGTCCCCGACTACAAATATATATATATATGTTTTTGCGGTCAAGAATAGGTAGAGTTGTGGTGGTGGTGTTAGTCGGTTGTGGTGAAACAAAACCGACATACAGGTAGGCCTGAAAAAATTAGCCTACCTGTAAGAAAATTGAAAACCGAAAATCATTTACCAGGAATATTAATACCTTGGTGCTTTGCTGTGCAAGTGAAGGTTTAAGATGGTTGTGTGCCAGGCTTCTCCCCAAGAATTTTACTCTTTCCTATACAGTACATAGAGATGAGTGCCATATGGAGATAACCATGCCACACACAGAGATGAGAAAACATATTTATAATTCACAGAACTGGGCACAACACAAGCATATCTATACAAT